GCCCGGGTGGGGTGTGGTTGGGGCCGGCCTGGGCGGGGGGGAGGTGTCCCTGCCCAGGGCAGGAGGTGGAATGAGATGATCTTTGAGGTCACTTCCAACCCAAACCATTCTATGTTCATATACAAGAACACAACTATATCCTCCACAGAGAACCAGAACCATTAAAAACATCTTTGAAAAGGCCTGGGGAGGGAAAAGAGTTGAGAACCAGCACTTCCAGGTAACACCTCATCCTCACACCACAACCTTCTGTAAGCCAAAACTTAGTGCACAAATATATCTATTACCTGCAAAAACCTGGAGAAGGAAGGATACAGCCCCTTCCAGAGCTTCCCAGCACTGTGTTAGGGAAAGCTGCTGGTGCAGATGGGAGAGGTCTGAGTTAACTCCTACAGCTCATGCACTCCACAAATCCCCCTGAATTTCCTAGGCATATCACTCCCAGGACAACTTCAGAAACATAAACCCAAGAATGAGTGTTTTTGTGGGCAATTCTGGTGGTTTTGTTTAGTCTTATTTAGCCTTTCAATGCCTGAATCACACACCAGGATTTTGGAGAGGGCTCCTAAATCACTGAATAAAAACAAGAGGAGGCTGTCTAGCAGCTAATATTTTAATGAATAATTCTATGAGGGCTGTAAACATCAACTGCCTCAGCATATTTTACACTGTTTAATGCATATCTTTCAATCCTCCTAACCAGAAAACAGTGTCTTGCATGAAAATAAGAAACAAGCCCTTGTTCCCAGCCCTGTGTGTGTCACCCCCCCCAGCCACTGCCTGCCCATGGTCCCATGAGGGCAACTCAAAGCAGCTGAAAAAGGGGAGAAAAGGGAAAAAAAGCTGAAAAAAGGGAGAGGGTAGAGGAAAGAGAAGGGGAAAGGGAAGAGGAAAGTGCAAGTTTGATTTATAGCTCCTGCACTGGGAGCTGTGATAACTCAAGGCAGCACAGACACAGCTTTCCACAGCTCTCCTTGTGTTCTGGTGTCAGTGTGGATCTGCCAGGACCTGGAATCAGCACAAATGCCAGCCTAAAGAAACTTCTGGCACTTAGGAACAAACAGAAAGACACAAGAAAAAGATATGTTGCCTTCTCTCTGTGAGTCCCAGAGCAATGGTTAGAATACTGGAAAAGAAAATGAAATTTCAGTTTACTTGACTTCAAAATTCCACAGTTTACTCTAAAAAAACCTCCTATTGGATAATTAACACACCTCAATTATCTATCACAATTCTCCTATTTAAGCAGGGAGTATGTTACCTTCTCCATCTGTTGCTCA